ATGCACACAAATAAAAATGTAAAAAACACTCAAATCATGCACACATATAAAAATATACAAAATCACTCAACTCATGCACACAAATAAAAACATAAAAATCACAGGCTGTACCGGCCTCCTGTTTTCTGAACTGGAGCTTTGATGCAGGTCATGAAGGATGATTGTTTAAAAGCAGCACGTTGAAAGGTTTAAAATAAGCTTTAATAACAGAAAATTAATGTGAAATGCATTTTTTGATGTGAACTAGCAATAATTTAACTAAATTAATTACAGTTTTGGTGTTTTTATTTTTTTTTAAATATTATTGTTTTGCAGAATCTTTTAACTTTGCTGTTGTCACAGTTCAACAACAATAAAAGTTATGAATTAGACGATCCTTGTGCGAATGCTTATTAAGCTTTCACACTATTGTGATCCTGTTTATAAAGTATTTTTCTCAGTTACTGTACATATTTTGATACAATTCTTGTTCTGTAATTTTCAGCTATTTCAACAAATCATAAATCAAAATGTTCAGCTCTTCCAGGACAACCCTGTTGTGACTTTTAGTATTGGTGCAACTTTAGCTTTTTGAAATAATTAAAATATTTAGCCTTTTCTGACATGTTTTTTCTCTCATAGAAAATTAATTGAGCTTATTTTCCATCCTTCAAATCTTTAGATCTGTTTACAACCTTTTACTGCTCCTTTCACATTTTGTTCTGCTTCAGTTTCTTTCAGCTTCCTTGTGAAAATTTAAACATTTTTCAGCTACTTTCAGCTACTTTCAACTGGTGTTTTTCAGCTGTTTTGTGCTCCTTTCAGATTCTTTCTGCTAACTACAACATTTTTGTGCTTCTAACTTATTTCTGCCAATCAGCTTGTCTTCTTTCAGCTTATTTCTGCAAGTTTCTCTTTTTCTGCTATTTCAGCTACTATTTTGCTATTTTTATGATAATTTTAGCTTTTTCAGCTAATTTTACATTTTTTGCACTCATTTCAACTTTTTCAGTTTAATTCAGCAAACGTGCTCTTGCCACTTCTTTCTGGTATATTCAGCTTTTTTTTCCTGCTCTTTCAGCTACTTTTCAGCTATTTTTTGCTAATTGCAGCTTTTTAAGCTAATTCACTAATTTTTGTGTTAATTTTTGCTTATTTAAACCAAATTCGGCCAATATGTGTTTTTCTGCTTTTTTCTGCAAACTTAGGTTTGTTCTTCCATTTCAGCTACTTTTCAGATTTTTTTTTTTTAGCTACTATTCAGCTGTTTTGGGCAAATTTCTGGGGGGGTTTTCAGTTAATTTTCACTTTTTTTTGTGCTAATTTCTGCTTCTTTCAACCTAATTAGACACAATTGTACTCTCTCCACTTCCTTCTGGTATTTTGCTTCTTTCTGCTGTTTCAGCTACTTTTCAGCTATTTCTTGATAATTGATAATTGATAATTTTTAAATAGCTAATTTACTATTTTTTGTGCTAATTTCAGCTTATTTAAACCAAATGCAGCAAAAATGTGTTTTCTGTTTTCTTCTGCTAACTTAGGCTTGTTCTTCCATTTCAGCTACATTTCAGTTTTTTATTTTATTTTATTTTTTTTATTTTTAGCTAATTTCAGCTGTTTTTCAGCAGTAAGCAGTCACTGCATTTTCGCAGGACATGCGGTTTCTATAGTTGAGTTTGTTTCATCCCCAGCACAAACTCTCAGCACTAGCTGACTGGATAAGATCTGTTTTTAAAATGTTACCATTAACTATTGGAGTCATCTCTGTCTGTCTGTTAGCAAAATATCTCTTGAACCACTGGGTGGATTTAATAGAAACTTTTAGAAAGCAAATATTTCATGCTTGACTACATTCCTTTAACTTTTGGGTTCAACCCTTTTGAAGATGGTCACCTGACTTTACCCAACACAAAGATGTCCATAACTGAGCCAATCTGGCACTTATTAAGTTTAGATTTGGTGTGGTAGTAGCTGAGCATCATTTCCAACACATTCTCTGAGCACCACACATTATACAATATATCAGCTTAAAACTTTGGCATTATCGCTTGGTGTCAACCATGTCTGTCTGTTAGCAAAACTTCTCATTAACCGCTGGACAGAATCTTATGAAACTTTCATAAAATAATCGTTTTATAATCATCCATACCTGATTATTGTTTGGAATCGACCCAAATCAAAACGGATGTCTCAGCTAATCAACCTTAGCAAACACAAAACTTGGTGTGGTAGTAGCTGAGGCTCATCCTCAACTCGAGCTTCGAGCTGAGAATCAGCAAGAGCTCGTTTTGATCCTCCTGAGCATTTGAATGTTCTGCTTCGCCTCCGGGCAGCTCCGGTCATCCAGGGGAGCCAACAGACGGAGGCGCGCGCGTGGTGCGCGTGCCCGTGTCAGCGGCTGCAGGAGCTCTTCTTGCATCTTGCAGCTTCTCCAAGTTGCTCAGAGAGAAGTTCAGCAAAGAGCCGCACCGGGTTCGGCGCAGCACGCGCGCACACCGGGAACAGCCATGTCACTGGAACCCACTCCACGTTTGAGCCGTTTCTGTCTGGAACAGCAGCTGCGCCGACAAGACCCACAGTTCTGTGTGGAGGAACAAACGGAATAAATAGGAACTTTAAGGAACTTCACTTTGTTTAAGGACGAAGAAGAGAACCAGATGACGCTCATCGCTTTGCTCCTCTTCCTCATCCTCTCCTGCGCTCGTGAGTTTTTACTTATTGATGTGAAATCACAATGCAAATATGTTTTATTTATTTTTTTTTTTTTTTTTTACCCCCCCCCCCCCTATAGTCACAACTGCAGAGACAGCTCGTGCACGTAGTGGGCATTTACCGTCACTTCTGTTAATACAAACTGACAGGGGTCTGCAACCTGCGGCTCCCGAGCCACATGCGGCTCTTTGGTCCTTGGTCTGCGGCTCCTTGAAGCTTTGACCAAACGTGATGCAAAATGTAAATTCACTGGTTTTTGTACCCACAGTAAAGAGGAATGGCAAGTTTTTGCAGTTTTTCTGCAAATGTTTAAATTAAATTACTAAAACACAGAGAAAATACTGTTGATTAGCTTTATTTATTTATTTATTTATTTATTTATTTATTTATTTATTTATTTATTATTAGCTTTAGCTACTGCATTTTCCAACTTCCAGTATGGTGAATAATTTAATAGATAGATAGATAGATAGATAGATAGATAGATAGATAGATAGATAGATAGATAGATAGATAGATGTAATTAAAGCTAAAGTAAATACAAAAATTTGAATTAGTGATAATTACAGAGCCAACAAGATGGCCCAATATTTAGACACACTTTAATTTTATGCTTTATTACTTTAACATGGGATAAATATGTATTTTTTAATTAAAAGGAAGACTCACATTAACCTTCAGAGTCCAGGGTTAATTATTTTAGTAAAATTGGTATGAAATATATATTTTCCCCTTGCTTATGTAAATGCAGTCTTGAGCCCTAAAATGTAAAATTATTACTAAATGTTAAAATTCATTATATCATTTGTGTTTTATAAAATCAACCCCACTGGCTGGAATTAGAAAACAAAAACAAACAAACACACTTCATATGAGTTTGAAGTGGCCCATGAGCCACCAGTTGAAAACGACCACTGTAGCAGATTTTGCGGCTTGTGTCGAGATGAAGAGTAGAAATGTCTCTTTTGATGGAAAACGTTGCAGATCTCTGTTCCAGAAGCTCTGACTCAAAAACTTCTGGTCCTGACCGGGTCAGGATTCTACTAGAACAGTTCCAGACGAGGGGGGAGAGACCCTTAAATTATACTTTTAATTATGTATTTATTTATTTAATTTTGTCACATTTCACCCTCCATAATAAAACACCATAAGAAATGTTAAGTCTTTTCTTCACGTCACATGTTTTCATCGCCCACCATCAAAAAATGAAAATGTTTCTGCTCGTGGGTTCGAATGTCTCCCGAACCAGCGGACTGATTTTAATGTAGGAAATAATCGATAGATGTAGATCTACAGCTGATTACCTTTTTGGAGTCGAACTGATTTGAGATGATCAACACGAGCAACTTACTTTAAAAAACATAAAAATGGCTCCAACTCTGTCAGTGTTACATCCACTGTGCCTAAATTTGAAACGGTTGTACCTGAGACTTAGTCACAACACTTGGTATAAGTATGTAAGACTGCTCGCTAAAACTTTAGCATTACGTGCTGGAGTCAATTTTGTTTGTCTGTTAGCAAAATATGCCACGAACCACTGGACATGGATGCACATCTACACATGATTAACTTTTGGAGTCAATCCTAATCAAGATGGCTACCATAGCTAATTGATATTACCTGACACATACATTGCTATAACTCAGTCCACTTTGCATATATTGTCCTAAAATGTGATGTGGTAGTACCTGAGAGTGGTTCACAACACATATTTTGAGTGTTGCATCTTTCAGTAATGCAAAACATAATTTTTGGGGTTTGACCAAAACATTTGAATCACCGTCATTTAAGATCATTGTAGCCCAAAACGAAAGTTGGAGAGTGATGTGCTTTTGTTTTTAAGAGGACTTTGAACTAAAATGTTTAAATGCATCTGGTAAATGGTGGTACAGTGGTAGAGCTGTTGCCTCTCAGCAAAAAGTTGCTGGATCAAATCCCAGCCCGGGTGGAGTTTGCATGTTCTCTCCGTGCTGCGCGGGTTTTCTCCCACAGACCAAAACATGTATGTTAGACTGACTGGTAACTCTAAATTCACCCTAGGTGACGGCTATGGGCACCAGTGACTCTGGCGACCCGGAAAGGAAGAAACGGCTAAAGACATTAGCTGAATACATCAGCTAAAGCTAATTGTTAGCCTACAGTGATTGACAAATGTTTCAAAACCCGTTTCTTCTACGTGAAACAAAAACTGCAGCGAGGGAAGAATAATTTTTAGAGGCTCTTGTTTTGAGACAGGGAGCACTCGAGTGTGTTCTAAAAACAGGAAATGGGTCTTTCTTGGTTGTAGGTATAAAATAGCCGACAGTAAATAATTCAAGGGATCTGCTTTTACTGCAGAATGTTTTTAGAGGACGACACCACAGACTGTCGGAGGTGAAGATGTTCCTGCGGTTTCTTTAAACTCAGTCCTCCGAAACAAAAAAAACACATTTCTTTTGTGTTGTAAGACAAGAGTCCCCTGAACAGCATCGTCTTACAAACACGGTTTATAAAGTAGTTTAACGAGTTTAATTCTTGTCATGCTTTTGATAAAATACACAAAAATGAAGGTTTGAGTTAAAAGTAAAATAATCTGTCAGAATACTTTTGTTCAAATCATCTTGAAGAGGACGATGATTGATGCAAGTGTGTTTCTGTGAGGGGAGGAGGATGAAAACCTTTTAAAGCAAAAAATAAATAAATAAATAAACAAATTGAAAATCAGTAAATGAATAATAATAATATGAAAATACAAATTATCAAGACTCAGCTCAGTGTTAGGAAAATATTACAGTTCAAAATGTATCCAGTGGAATGAAGTTTCCTGTTGTATCGCCATTTTAACTGATCATCCATCCATCCATCCATCCATCCATCCATCCATCCATCCATCCAT